ACAGCAGCAGCGCGAACGTCAGCCGGTCCGTGTGCAGCATGCCGCGCGCCACGCGCTCGTACACCGCCTGACAATTCACATTTTTTTATATAAATACAATTTTATAAGTATTTACCTTATGTAACTATCGACCACATTTTTACTTAAATCTAGGAGGGATTGGTCAAGTGCTGGTTTATCTAAACTAGTGTTATAAAGAGGAAAGATTAGTATTTTTAGATTTTTGTATGTATTGTAATAACTGACTAACTGAGACTGATTTTAAAAATTCTTTCATAATTAAAAAGCTACGTTATCAATAAGGAACATAGGCTATACTTTTATTTTACTTTAAAAAATTCTACGTAAACGATGTCGCGAGCAACAGCTAATATATTTATAGTAATATAAAAATATATCCTAAATGGTTGTTTCAATTCAATCACCATTCATAATTAATCATTATTTCATGTAATTTATGTGAAATTACTTAGCAACAGCATACCGTAAATAGTTCCTCGGTGATGGTATTCAACCTCGCGGTGTAGTCAGTGACGCCGCTGAGCGCCGGACACACCAGCACAGAGCTAAAGATGTCCAGGAACATTTTCAACGAATATTGATACAAGAAGTGAACTTGGTTTAGAGACTCCATAGTAAAGTAGATACTGCTGCACGCCTGAAAAGATAAGAATGATTAAATTGTTAACCGGCGTTTGGAAATTATTCATGTATATTCTTTTTATATTAACTTACTTGTGATAGCGGGAGGTACTGCTGACTGACGGTTTCAATTTCAGCTATAACCTTGTCTGTTTCTTCCACCTGTTAATTATAATTGAAATTAGTCTGTTATACAAAAACGATACAATTTAAGTACAAGTATTTGCAAAAACCGTAGTTGACCTTCTGTCCAATATCATCGGCTTCCTTCTTGAGTGTCTCTAGCGTAGCGATAACGGAGTCGTCGTCCAGAATCTTGCCCTTCGCGTCATTGAGCGCTTGCAGCAGAGACTTCTCCAGTTGTCGCAATCTAAGATGGAACTCGCCTGTGGGAATTATTTTATTCATGAATTTAACTCGTTATTGCTCTCGACTTCGTCAGTGTAAAAGTAACAAATAGAAAAAAGTCTATGTAACCCACAAATAAATTACCTTTCTAACGGTGAAAGAATTTTTAATATCGGCTCAGTAGTGTTTGAGTTATTTCAACACATACAAATAGACAAAAACACAAATCTTTCTTCTTTATAATATTAATATAGATTAACGAGAGACTTTTTATTTATTTATTGTTAATAGAAAGAGCAATAGATATTTATATCTGTTAGCTAAAAAAAAAATTAAATTATGCTTAAGGAATTTGTTATTGAGTCCAGCGTGTTTACCGAGTGCGTTTTAAACTATTTACAAATTAATTATTTTAGAAGAATAAAAGTCTATCATTAGAACCAGCGTCTACATTTTTTATGCCCCCGTATACATAGAATTGTGTTCATAGCAGGGACTTGCGCGATGTTCAGATTATTCAGCATTATAAATTTCTTCTATAATAAATGATTATATTACCTTGCAGTTTGAGTAGATCAGATCGTTTGGTATCGATATCTGGGCGCTCCGCTTTAAGCACGCGATGCAGGCACTGCGACTGCAGCGACGACCGCGTCACCGTGAAGTTCACGAACGTCACACGCGAACACATGTCCGGCGGAAACTCCACCGTCGGGTCCCTAAGCAACAATCAAACAATATTATTTAAAACATTAATAACGTATAGGCAAACTCAACTCATAACACTAAATATGATATAAGCCACTTGCTTGTTTTAGAACTTAACGAGGGAATTTTAAAAAAGACACTTTTTAATGATTAAATTTTGCCACTAAATCACATTATATTTTAAAAAATCTTTGCAGGACTGTTTTTATAATAATAAAGTATACTTAAAAAAAGTTTGGTACAATTTAGCGTCATATGCATATTGCCTATTATTTAGTTGCACAACTGTAAAGAGGATAGTGTGCACACCTACATATAAGCTCATAGGAATCAAAGCGAAACTAAACCGTTGTGCGGTAGTTTAGTCAATGAGTGCGTTCTTAAGTGTTTAATCAAGCTTTTTGTGTCGAATTTGTTTCTCTTTATACCATGTAATGTTTTAAGGGGTGGTAATAACGTATACACATACCTTGTGCTGAGGAATATAACGAAGGATGGACTGAGATCAATGTCCTGGTCGCCGAGGGTGATGAGCACGCGGCCGCCCGTGCGCCGCAGCTCGCGGTTCAGCACCGGGTTCAGGATGGGGTCGTAGTTCTCCACATCCTATAGTACGAAAAACAACAATATACAGACCTCAAACAAAACACAAAAATCCAATAAACAGATATTTTCCTACACTAAAGACTAGCTAAAGGTCATCTAGCTAAAAATAATGAGTATGAGGGGTAAACTTAACTTTTTGGTAAATATGTTAAAAATTGATGACGGTACTAACCTGAACAAGCAGGGGGTTGCCGAAACGTAGCGCCGATTCCAAATTCTTCCTGAAGGAGTCATCAAGGAATGAGGTCTTTGTGATCTTGCGTTCGTTGAACTCTCGCATTATGAACTCCGTCGCTTGTCCTGACGGGTCTATGATTAGTGGATAGCGGTTGAAGCGCTGAAAAATTGTAATAATAAACATTGTCATTGCCAGTATTTATTATATTATAAAAAGGAAAGATTTGAATTTTTGTATTTCGATAGAACTCAAAAACTACCGGGCTGACTTTAAAAAACCTTTCACCAATAAAAAGCTACGTCAACAATAGGTAACATATGCTATATATGTTACAAATTTTATTTCCCTTGACGAAGACGCAAGCGAAAATTAGTAATAAATACTCAAATAGGTTCCGAAAGACGACCCTTATTGAGCTTTAGTTTTAAGTGTCGAGTGTCTTACATAAATTTACATCACTTTCAGATCATTACATATACATAAGTCGTCTAATATCAACTAAGGGTGTCACTTAGTGTACATTTTGGTATACTACGGCTTAAGGAACCAAATTCATGATTATTTAATGTTATGTACGTCAGCATTTACATATACATATACATATATAAAATCCAAAACTGTTTAACTATTTGTATGTGTATATATATGTTGTGGTTGTACTTAAAAAAAATGTCATTTACCTTGAGCATGATGGCATTTTCAACACATAGCTCGTCAGTGGGCAGCGCGTTGGCCTGCCAGCGCAGCCGCTCGTCAGGGTTGGACAGGTACTCGGTGCGCGCGATGTCCGCGCGGTATTTGATGCTAGCCGCCGCTAAGTGACTCGTCCACGTAGAGAACAGGTGCTGACGGTACTGAAAACACAAACAATAAGCAACATTATATGCTCCAATGTCGCAACAACTCGATTAGGAATATTGCCTTCCCTTTCATCAAATTTGGATGAAACAATGATAGTGTTTAATACAGAATCCAACCTCTTTGGCTGACAAAGAGTTTGTATACAGCCAAAGATCATACTGGCCAAGACTTTTGTCTACTTTAGTATAAGAAATGGAGTGAAATAAGGAAAGCGCGGAAAGTGTTCACGAGTAAAGATGTAATAGTAGAAAAGAATTATATTGTAAATATGTATACACTTGAATAAAGATGTGATGTTTGAACATAAAGTGTATTTTTTGACTGCCGCGATAACGATAGCCCTAGTGTGTATATAAGTCAGTCCCTACGTAAAGTTAAGTATGTACAAAAGGTGAATTTTACAGTAGAGTAATAACATTAAAACTACACGAACGTATGGTGTAACAATTTAGATGTTTAAAAGAGAGGCAAGCGTTTTAAGTTTCCTTCGACAGTCTGTCAGTTGCTACTCGTATGGATTGTTGAACCAATCAAAGCAACGATAAAGACGTAACTTACATGCTGATCAAAGTAGCCACCGTATGCGATAAACGCAGCGGAGAGCAACACATCACCGACGATGGTACTCATCTGCGAGCGGAACGTCTCCGAGCTCGCCTCCCAGCGCTCGCGCTCTATCACCAAACTCTTCAGTAACGCTATCGACCTGTCCACCTGCATAAAAGTGTTAAACTAATTATTAGGAGCTAAAAACATTAAAAGAAACAATGCTTTTATACACACTTGATATTCGACATTTAATATTGTTTATAGAATTCAAATATTAATTTTATTTTTGATCTTACATCGAAACAAAAATAATTTTAGTTCCTTTCCATCCTTTTCTTAAGAGGAAAGGATGAGAACAAAGTGGATTCGACGGTGCAGGAGAAGCATAGAAAGAGGAAATATCTTCTTCATGTGCGTCTCCTCGCGTGTGCGATGAAGGGTAGGCAACACATCTACAATTGTGGATGTCTATGGGCAGCGGTCGCTTCGCCATTTCAGTGGATTCAAGTGGCCGCTTGCTCGTTTGCCACATTATAATATAAAAAAACAAATTTTGCTTACAAAGTAATTCATTGATTTTCATACAAGTTAAAAGAAGCCTCTTTACCTTTGCTTGTACATTTTCAAGATCTGTTTTAATAGCCTGTGCCTGGCTGATGAGTTGTGCGTACTCCTCCTTGTACGAGGCGATAGATTTCTCCAACTGTTCAATGAGTTCTCGCACGTCGTTGCCAGCAGTCACATTGGTCTGAGCTTGGTCTTCTAGTGCCTTTAACTCATTACGTAAAGGTTCAACCCGCTTCAACATATCCGCATATTCAATCTGAAATTTTATTTGAAAAGAAATTAGATTGTTGAATAGATTGAGAAAAATAGATTAAAAAATAAAAATTTGATGCGTGAGTTATATCATTATATCAAACATATAAATTACCTGAGCGATAGCCCATTTGACCATAGGACCACAAGCCATACTTGCTCTGTTTACTTTCTCAAAGTTGTAATCCGGATTGCTGAGGTAGCGAGTCCTCATTTTCTCGCGGACATCGTCACTGGCACATAGTACAAATGATTAGTATTGATTCCCACAAATATACATTTATAATGAAATATACAAACGTGAAAAAGGTACCTCCACACCACGTCATTTAAAAATCCGTCCAATCACAAGTCATGCACAATATATTGACTTTACACCGGGATATTGGACATCACTTACCCCAACCAAAACCACGTGTAGGAGAAAAATCATTCAATGTCTTATGTATGACATTATAGATAGCAAACAAATAAAAAGATGAAATATGGACGAAAACAATAAGCCAGTCATTTGTCATTATTTTAACGGCTTTCTTGGTGTATTATGTCAATGAATATTATTTATTGGCAAATACATTCATGCAGTAAAAAATCGCAACGTGTATTAAAGTGAATACTGAATTCGTATCACTTATATGGGTTCAAAATTGATCACTTTTATGCAATAATCAAATATTTTGTTAATGTATTTTTCATGTTAATAAAAATCTGCATACAAGTTAATTAACCATCACCAAGATCATGCCATTAATATCAGTAACGGGTAAAATCTTTAAAAAGAAAAGAATAAAAAGATTGACAAAGATATAAAAAAGATTTTACCCGTCGCTTCAAACATGTATGCTCGCTGTATCATGCAAAAAGCACGCTTAAGCATAAATAAAACACGCAAAAAGTAAAAGAAACCATTTTCAGTTGTTCATGCTATGAAAAATTCAAAATGATACCATCAGTCATAAGACATTTAACAATTTATGAGTGTTAGTGAAAAGATTAGGTAACTTAATTTTGTACTTATTTAATGTCGATATTATTATTTGATGTTTTGTCATTGTTTATTTTAATACATTTGATGTAGTTATCATCAACCAGTCTCTGTGAGTCATTTTCCTCTTCAAAATTCTGATGGTATCCAAGGCTACGCCACCACCATTAGAATAAAAACGAAATTCTTTGGATAGGGACAAGGATTGTGGTGATCTTCACACAAATATTTATTAGGAACGATATAAAATTATATGTAAAAAACCTGTGTTTCAATTTTGTTGAAATAAGGGCAATTGCAAAGTAAATTACTAAGTAATATGGATAAAAGAAAATAAAAGCTGGTAAAATGAGGCTTTACTAAAAAAAAATGGAAAACGATGAAAATATAAATATGTAAAATTAATAAAACTATATGAATAAAAAGCATCGAATAATATGTTTAATTCCAAAGAAAAAAATAGGAAACTAAACTGTGATTAACATTCTGAAAAAACGTGTTTAATTTTTGGCATTGAACGGGGGAGAGATGGAAGGGACAAATTCATGACGAGACACAAACAAGGGGAGGTGTTGTTGTGGGGCGGGGTATAGAAGCGGCGGTGCTCACGTGATGTCCTCGGTGGAGAAGTTGGAGACGATGCTGTTGATGAAGTTCTCGCGCATGATGACGGCGCGGATGGCCTTCCAGTCGGTGGCATTCTCTCCGAGCAGCAGACATATCGACTCGAGGGCCACTTTCACAATCGCCGGCGGGTTCCCCATAGAGCGCACTTCCACCAAATGCTGCTTCTTAATAGATTTGACGGCTGTACAGTGTAACGGTGGTGTCGGGCGCCGGGTGCGCGTCGCGGCCGCCACCAGCGCGAAGCGAGAGGACAGTACGAAAAAGAGAGAGACAAAGGCTGTTAGCGAGGTTGCGTCGCCGAGCGCACGTCCGCGTATGCTTAGCGTTGTTAGTCACATTGTCATTAGTGTGCCCTACGTAGATGCCGTTTTAATTACATACAAGAGGTACATAGCGTTATTTAACATTTCATATTAAAACAAGACATATGCAAACAAGCTTAGCGTTATATACATTGTTTATTATTGTAGAACATTCTAAATAATCATTCACCGACGATGCTGCGAACATGACGATCTAAACGACACTGCTCAAGTATGATCAACTAAATACATCGAAATAATAAAACTAAGGGTCGAATACGCTACAATGTTTTTGCCAATAAATATACAAAGACTGAGAAAACGTACGCTTGCTATCTAATGATGATACATGAAAAAATTATATAAAAACACTTCAGCTTACATTAACAAGATAGCATGTTGTTTATATAAAAAAAAAATCTTTTAAAAACAAAGCGCGTCGTATAACTGCAAACAACATGCTAAATTGCGTGACAAAAACTTGCAACACTAACGTGATATTCTCAGTCTCGAAGTTAACAATAGTGGATATGAAGTTGTCCTTCATAACGACGGAGCGGATTCCCTTCCACGTGTCCCCTTTTTCCCCGAGAAGCGTGCAGATGGACTCGAGCGCCATCTTCACCACCGAGGGCGGGTTGGCCATCGAGCGCACCTCCACCAGCTGCTGCTTCTTGATGGAGCGCACCGCTGTCCGCCCACCATCACATTATACTACGTCTTACACAACACTGATTCCCATTCCAAATGAACGACATTTTGTAACATTGAAACGTCCCTTTACTGATACTGATAGCCTTCACCCGCGACTCCGTCCGCGTGAAATAAAGAAAAAACAAAAGTGGATAGCCTATGTGTTCTTCCAGACTATCCTCTACGTCTATGTCAAATTTCGTAGAGATCCATTCAGCCGTTTTGGCTATAAACTCTAACAAACATCCATCTTACCATCTAACCTTTTGCATTTATAATATTAGTGAGATATTAACATTTTTATTTTTGTATGATTTGAAATAACTTGGAAACTACTGGGCCGATTTCAAAAATTCTGTTACTATTAAATAGCTGATAGCTGATAGCAGGTATAGCTGAGTAGCATCGGCTACATTTTATTCTAATTTTACGTGGATGAAGTTGCAATCGACAGCTATCAAAGATATAATTGTATTTAACCAGTTAATATAGTCACGATGTTAAAGTTTTTTATACATTGTCATTGTTTTTTATACATTGGTACTATATTTAGTCTTCATTTGGAACAAGGAACAGCCTACCTAATTATTGTAAGCGGAAAACATTATTCATTGTTGTCTAACGCTAATGTATCGCTGGAATACGTTAAATTTATTATTTAGCACACTTTAGCAACACACTAATCGTCGTAGTAACACATAAAAATATCACAAACTAATTTATATATACAAGGGAGAATAATGTAAAAAAAATCAGATTCGATTCTTCTTACTTTCTCATTTTCAATCAATAGAGACAAACAGTTATTACTTACAATGTTACTGTAGAATAAATTGTTGTTTTTTTAAAATAAGAAGAATCTTTAATAATCCATAAACTTTCACTACTAAGCAAATACTGAAATTAATAACTCAAATTGTTGCTTACAATTACAAAGGAACAACATAATGATAGGGAAATAGTTGATAATATAAATGAAATAAATCAAACCGTTTTGCGCTTCAATGACAGCGGGCTCCACTTGCGCGAGGTCCGCCATCACATCTCGACGTTTCGCTTCGATTTCCTTTGTCTGCTTTTCTAACGCAACCTGACATACAAGCAAAACTTAAGTACACATTACAGTAAAATAAATTAGAAAAAATTAAACCAATTTTACATTTAGAAAAGGGAAATTTGAAAAAAATCATCGTTTATGCTTCTCTACAGTAGAAACACTGCCGCGCCCCAAGAATAATTAAATACATATATACAAATAATAAAATTGGTGTATCTGTATGAATTCCAGATTAAGCGAAAATGATGTATTTGTGTAACTCATGACGAAAACCGCATCAAAAAAAATTACTGTGAGCAACAGTTTGTACAGAATAAAACAGTTATGAACAGTGCCTTAAAAAGCATTAATTAAAAGTAGTATTTTTTGTAGCATAAAATTAATTTAAACTAAAATTGTCATAAAATCAAACCTGAATTTCCTGACTTTCCACTTTCTTCTTTTCCGCTTCATGCTGATCTTTGATCATTTGACGTAATTTCGCATTCGCCGCTTCGTTCTTTGCTTGTAGCTCCTGCAATTAACATTTAAAAAATACTTATTAACAAGTGAATTTAGTTTCTAGCTTAAAGGTAATATCTAAACATAAAATTTAATTCAAAAACACTTGCATTGATTAATTACAGTTTACTAAAAAAAATTAAGAACATTTTGAAACGTTAAAAGAATTAGTGTACATTTCGTTAAATTTGTTTAGTTGAATATTAAATCGTACCTGCGACTTGACGGCGAGGCTCTTCTGCATCTCCTCGACCTGCTCCACCGTCTCCGCGATCTTGCCGAGCCCCACGTTGAGGTGCAGCTGCTGCTCCTCCAAGTCGGCGCGCTTCTCCGCGTACAGCTTCACCATTTGCTGGATGAAGTCCAGGTAGTGTCTGAAATATTATAAGCTCACGTTACACATAAATCGGTACTCAACAAAAATTAAATTAAAAAAAAATCTAAACAAGACTTCTCGAATTTGTATATAGAATAATCGCATTAGTGGAATACGGATTTAAATGTAGAATAAGCCAAAGACAAATTTTATTTATTTGTTTAAACTTTAGATACAAAATGGTGTGTGGCGAGTGGCGAGTGGCTAGTGGTGTGTGGCGAGTGGTGTGTGGTGTGTGGCGAGTGACTAGTGGTGTGTGGTGTGTGGCGAGTGGTGTGTGGTGTGTGGCGAGTGGTGTGTGGTGTGTGGTGTGTGGCGAGTGGCGAGTGGTGTGTGGCAAGTGTTGTGTGGCGAGTGGCGTGTGGCGTGTGGCGTGTGGCGAGTGGTGACCTGGGCGTGATGGCCATGGTGCGGTTGGCGCGCTTGGCGAGACGCGCGTTGGCGCGGTGCAGCGTCTGGTGCACATAGACGCAGGCATTGACGACGGCGTCGCGGTGCGAGGGCCGCGCGCCCAGCTCGCCGCACGCCGCGGGGAACTCCGCCGGCGACACATACTCCGCGCACTCCAGATCCATGCGCCGCGTGAACTCCTTGCCCACCTTCGTACATACATACACAGAGCTCTAATCACTACTAGCACATAACACACAACACATATTACATTTTAAAATTAACTTCATATTAGACATATGAATGAAAAACAAACTTTAAAGTGAATTATTAGACAAACCGAGCAATGTTTTGTGTTCTTAATTTTAGTTGAAGTAAAATGTATAATTTTAACAATCCAAATATGGAATTGTTATGTATTATTATTAGAAAACTAATATTAATAGATTTGGTTTCTAATATCACAATTAGAAACCAAATCCAAACAAAATTTAAGGGCCACTTAACGTATCTTAATGCGAAAGTTTAGATGAATAATTGTTTGTTAGAGTTTGCCGCCTAAACAACTGATCTCATAATGAAACTTGACATAGATGTAGAGCATATGGAAAAACACAGGGCCAATATTAAGCTATTGTTTTCTTTTAATCCACTCGACTGTAGTATAGGTCGAGAGTTATAAAGAGTTAGACATGCCTGGAATAGTGCGCCATCGCTCCAGTCTCCGAACCAGTTGAGCACACATCTGTTGAAGAGCGCGGGCGAGGTGGCCGCGCGGTCCTTCAGGCCCTCAGAGGAGGGGTTCATTGTGAACACTACGTGTAAGTTGCGCATCACTTGGCCGGTGAACCTACACAATAACATTGTTACAACTTTTCTATTGTTATTTCTGTTTGGATTTAAACTATAAAGTAGTTAAGTTACCATTTATATAATTCGTCGTTAGAATCCAACATGAGTCCTTCTCTCTGCGCGCCTTCCTTACATTGAGTCATCAATGCTGCGAACTCATCGCCCTCGAATAATCCGGGCACCTGAATACAAATAATTTATACACATTCAAACACACTATTATCTTAAAATTTACTCACTTTTAACATATACAAATCTTACTAATATAAAAGTTTGGATGTTTCTTAGAGTTTGTAATCTAAACGGCTAAAAGGATTTCGATGAAATTTTACATAGAGATAGAGGATAGGCTGGAAGAACAAAAGGCTACACACTTTTGTCTTTTTTAATACCACGCGGACGGAGCCGCAGGCGAAAGTTAATTATTAAATATAAACAAAACATTCGAAGTAAAATTAAACATATAAAATCAACACAAAAAAAGATAGTTTTATTAAAAATAAGTATGTATTAAAATGACCTCTCCGTTAGCCAGCAAAGTGTTCATGCGCTCCAGGAAGCCGCTGTCGAGCACGTTGGACTCGTCCAGTATGAAGGCCACCTTCTCATCGCGGCAGCCCGCGCGCCGCAGCACTGAACGCAAGTCCTCGTCGAAGTCCGCGCCCGTGTACTTGTTGTGCACCTGTAATACAAACAAATATCGCGTTATTGTTATGTATTTATTGGAAAAAGTCACAGTTCTTCGCTTTTTCTTGTTATTTGGTAACTAGACATGCTCCTTAGTGTAAAATGTAAATCTACACTAAGAAACCGCTTATGTAACCATTAAATAACTTTCTATATTAATATAGTAACGAATGAACTCAAATCTACTGCCCTGCTTGACAAAAAACCTATGTCATTAAAAGCGATATTATCACTGTGGAGCATATGCTATAGTTATTATAAAAAAAATTAATACCGCGCGAACAAATTTGCGTAAAAAAGCTAGTCACTGATAAGGTAAATAAAAAATGTTCTTACTTTTATTTGGAATATGCTGAGTCCATTCATCCAGGCGACGAATCGGCTGAGCGTGGTCTTGCCGGCGCCGGAGACGCCGATGAGCAGCAGGTGTCCCTGCGGCTGGCGGAAGATCCTGTCGATACGCAGCACGTGGTCCAGCACCTCGTCGAACAGCACCAGCGGCACGTCCAGCTCCTCCTCGTAGAACACCTGCGAAAACAAAATAATATAGTACTTGCTGGAGTTGGCACATCGGGATAACGAGTCTTCCTCCGCCCAATGTACCAACTATAAGGCATAAGCGTATGTAACTTTGGTATTTGATTTAAAACGTCAAGACAAAAACACACGTAATTTATAGTAATTTTAACAGCAAAACAAACTTGAATGGGATAACTAGAAACTAATTGTAGTTCTTACCTTTAGGCGAGCTTTGACATATTCCCGAAGTTGGTCTCTTTGAACTGGCACATAATCTTTACTCAACCAGTTGCTGTACAAGATTGGACGAGCCAAAGCTTGATCCTTGTTGATACCTATTTAAAAAAAAACAGTAATCAATTTCTGTCCATCCAAAGTTCCTATAAAACAAATATCTAGAAACTTCAGTCAGTAACGAAATTACATACCTGGGAAGAATCTCATAGCGACAGTATCAATATTTTCATCAGTCCATTGCCTCTCGGAGTCTTCAACAAGACGATCTTGGAAGAGACGCAATGCTTCATGCGCCCACAAACGTACCAGTCCTTCAACGCTGAGATTGTCCAAAGGCCTACAAACGAAAATATACATATAGAACTACAATTTTATGTATGTAATAGACTTTAAATTTTTTATATGTATAGCATCCAGCGCTTAAATTGGACAAAAGGTTTCTTAACTCCCAACATAACATCAAACCGCGCTTCAGTTGGCACATCAGGCGGGATAGTATTGTTGTTACCCACGTGCCAACTAGGTTGCATGTGTTACCTGATGGCTTCGCATATTCCGCGCACCCATCTCGTCATCTCTCTAGGCGAGTACACATAGTGCGGCTGCATGTCCTGTGTGAAGCGCTCCTGCGACGCCAGGTAGAGATGCACCATGGCCTGCGTCAGCGGCTCCGCGTACCCGCGCAGAGCTGGCTGCATGCGCAGCATGGCGCGCGTGAACGTGCCGTAGATCTGTTATAACCAAAAAGATCATCAACTTGCCCTTATCCCTTACGGAGGGTCGGCAGTATGTGCTGCTCTTCCATACATCTCTATCAGCCGTCATATCTGAATCCACTCCCTTAAGCATATCCTCTTTCACACAATCCATACGTACTCTTCGGTCTTTCTCTTTCCTTTGTAGCTATCCACTATCCTTCTTAACACTTTCTGGTTTATCTCCTCATCGTCTCGACGCATAACCGAAAACATCAATTATGTCGTTTCGCAACTTTTGATGTTTCATTTTTGTCATATTGTACTCTTTTATAAATCTTGTAATTATTACACCTAATTACTCTTTAAACTTGAAAAATATTGCCCAATAAGAGACCCAGATGGTTAGTTTTGTCAGAAAGTATGTAAAACCTACATGAACATAGAAAATGGCTAAAGAAAAATCATTACAGCTACAGTAGAAAAAGCACCTTTTGGCATTAACTGGAGTTCGCTTGTGAGTTGTTATAAGTTGGCTTGTCTTGTGCCTACCGAGTAAAATATTCTGATCGATCTATGGTAATAAATCTGTTACCTGTTCTAATGAAGTTTCTCCGGGATAGTCGACGTATATAACAGGCACGTGTCTGAGCAGGCGGTGCGAGAGCGGCTTGCGGCCCGGGTCGGTGGGCGGGTTGCACGCGCCCACAAACTGGATACGCTCCAAGTGCACCCACGAATGATCTACAATTTTAGAAAAAAGATTTATGAAAGCAAAAATTTGCTTCACAATTTTCATTAGCTTTGTAATACCATAATTGCAAGTAATTCTATATATTTTGGACAATAAAAACTAGGAATGAACATTACCTGACGCCCTAAAGAAACCCTTGTGCTCGAGGAGTTGACGTAAAAAGGAGATGACTCGCTGCGTGCCGTACTGGTCCATGTCCGGCAGATTGATCTCATCGCAGAACAGCACTAGCCATTTACCGAGCTACAATATAAAAGATTAGATAAGTTTAGTACAATTAAATCTTGCATTTTCGATCACGCACTTTAATCCTAAAAAAAAGAATATGTAGTACTCCAAATCTGTCTTTTGTGTGGTATCCTTGGTACGACTTTATTATTTAAAAAAAAAGCTTTCGTATTGAAGGAAAATTTAGTTCTATGCGAGTTTTTAATATGAAACTTCTAATAATTTCCGCATTTTGATTCGTTAAGTGGTCATTGTGGGAGTTTATTAGTGTAGATATCTTTTACTCTAATGCAAGACACTAATTATTGGCCATTTAATATCACTGAGTGCAGCACTAATCCTCATACCTGTACGGGAGCCAGCACAACACCGTTGGGCGTCTTCCTATACTCGCAGTAATGATCGAAGGTCTTCAGGAGCAGCTCCGGCGTGGTGGCGGAGGAGAAGTTGAGGCCGACCACCTCCATGTCGGGGAGTGCTCGTAGCGCAGAGAACAGCGTCATCGTCTTACCGGAGCCAGGCGGACCGCACAGAACTAAACAAAGAAATTAACAGTGAATTTACACCGTAACAAAACTCAACTAAAATGTACTAAAAACGCAAGATAAGTTTTAATAAATTTATTTAGCTGTCGCTTGCGATTCTGTTTGCGGGGGATTATAAAAAAAAACTTGTTTCATAGCTTATGTGTTCTTACAGATTAGGTGGTACAATATACACCTATATCAAAAACATCCAGATCCATAAAGTCGTTCTTGAGTTACTAGGTAGCGTCCATCCATTCATACAAACTTTCGCATTTATATAATTAATAAAAAAGTTAAAACATAAAAATACAAGTTAACCCCTTACTTGTATTTTTATATTTGTTTTTTATATATATTTTTATTTTCAAATTGTTCCATCGAGTCAATAAGCTAAAATAATTGTTACCCAGGGGCTTGTGTTCAGCGAGCCAGGTGTACAGCAAGGCCTCGTGGCGCACCGTGTCCAGCGTGGGCACCACCACGTCGGGCGCCGCCACCTTGTGCGTCTCCACCTCGATCTGAGGCACCTTGGCTGACCACGGCACCCATTCCCCGGTTATCGATACCTACATCAAAAGTATCAAACATTGTTAAGCTTATAAACTGTTAAAAATTCACTAAAAAGGTTAAATAACGATTACACTTAGACATTAGAGTAGTGACTAGATTTGGACAAAACAAGCGCCCTTTCCTAGATTAGGGTAAGTGAATTAAGCTGCCATTTAATATGACGGTTTTACATAACAATAAAACCGATATTATGTGCCGAG